TATCAGATGCGGTAGAGACTGCAGGAAGCAGAGTTTCTACATAGAAAGCATTGTGGGGGGCCAAAGGATCTGCTGTGGGCTGAACTAAAACCCTTGGAGGGCCAGGTTCAATCTGCAGGCTGTATTTTTCCTGCCTCTGCATTAAACCATTGTCTGTTTTCCTTTTTTTTATGATATTCATTTGCTTTGTGCCTCCAATGTGGTGTTTTAAATCTATCACAGCAGCTTTTAAAAAGGGAAACTACCAAAATTAGGAAGCTAGGTAGACAAAAGTTAAAAGGGGTGTTTTTCACCTCCTTTAGGACCTCCTTCAACTTTTGTCTACCTAGCTTCCTAATTTTGGTAGTTTCCCTTTTTAAAAGCTGCTGTGATAGACTTTCTTTTTGTCTGCTCTCCTGCATGATAGTCACGCTCAGTTGCATCATGGTTTCTGTTGCAGGGCATCTCAGCAACACTTACCCTTTGTACAAAATCCTGTGCACTACTTGGCCAAGTATGGCCTTTCCTCTTATAGGTTCCAGGACTAATTGCTTCAGAAAGCAATCTTTTATAATGTCAAGAAATTTGCAATCTGCATCCCAGCTTGAGGTTACATTGACCCAGTCTATTTGTGAATAATTGATGTCTCCCATTGTTACTGTTTTCTGATTTTACAGCCCTTCTCAACTCCTTTAGCATTTCCAGCTTGCTGCTGCTGTCCTGGTCTCAGGGTTGATAGCATATCCTCAGACATTTTTTCCCCCAATGAAACATGGAATTTCTATCTACAGAGGTTCTATGGTAACTATGTTATCAGTTGAAAAATCTACCCTATTTGATTCAATGTAGTCTTTGATGTAGAATGCTACTCTCCCATCAGTTTGACCTGTCCTAGCATTCTTGTATAGTTTGTATCCTGATATTACAACATCCCATTGTTTTTCCTCATTCTACCATGTTTCTGAGATAGCTATTATGTCAATATTGTTATATACTGCTAAGCATTCAAGTCTCCCTGTCTTGGATCTTAGATTTCTGGTATTAGTATAAAAGCACATAATACTTTTTTCTTGTTGCTTGATTGGCTACTTGTGTGTGACCTTTTACTCAGCAAACCTAGTTGTTTATGCTGGTCTTCTCTGTTTCACCTGAGTACTCTGTCTCAGTTTCTTATTCCCATTGTTTATAGTTTCACCCCTACAAGGTGTGCCAGTCTGAACTATGTGCTGTTCTGCACCAGTTGCTTTTCTCCCAGTTTTTAGTTTAAAAGCTGCTCTACCACCTTTTTAATGTTACATGACAGAAATTTGGTACCATTTTGGTTCAGATAGAGACCATCCCTCCTGCTCAGGCTACCTCTGTTCCAAAAATCCTCCAGTCCCTAATAAACCTAAACTCCTCCTCCTTACACCATTTTCTTGGCCCCCTCATTGAGATTCTGGATCTATGGCTGTCTCTACATAAGACCCTACTGTGCAATGGTTACTGGACATTTATTTAGTACTTGTATAAACAAGTACCAAATAAATGCACAGTAACCTGAGTTACTGCACAGTAGTGCTGGTGAAGACTTTTTTCTGATGATACTGCACAGTAGCTTAATACTACTCTGAATTAGTGTCCTCCCATGCTTTTTGCCATGAAACACTACTGCATAGTAAAATCAGGCTACTGAGCAGTCAGCATCTCATGTAGACATGCCCTCTATCTATTTACTTGGCCCTGCACATGGCAGTGAAAGCATTTCAGAGAATGCTACCATAGAGATTCTGGACTTCAACCTCCTACCTAGCCACCCTAAATTTAGGTTCCAGAACTTCTCTGTTATACTTCCCCATATTGTTGGTACCCACATGGACCATAACCACCAGTTCCTCCCCAGCACTACCTAGCAGCCTGCCTATACATCTTGCTAGATCTACTACCTTTGCACCAAGCTGTAGGGGGGCTGTAGCTGGGAGGGGAGCATATGGGGTGGGGGCAGCAGGCAGGCAGGGGGCTGCAGCCAGGTGGAAGGCATGAGGGGGGCTATAGTCAGGAGGGGAGTACACAGGGGGTCTGCAGCTGGCTGGGAGGTGCACAGGGGGGCTGCAGCTGGGTGGTGGGTGCGTGTGTGTGTGTGTGGGGGGGGGCTGTAGCCGGTGCCAGTCCCAGGTGGGACAAGCAGCCTGAGCCTCCTTTCATTGCGGTACAGATCTGGGGGCTCATACCCCTGAGAGGGCTGCCAGGCTGTGCCGGACTCCTCCCAGAGGTGTGATCCCCCAGATCTGCGCTGGATGCGAAGAAGTGAAGCCCACACCTAGTGCCGGGGAAGATTGCTGCGGCAGCAGCAGCCTCCTGTCATCTGCTGTGCAGATCCTGGGGCTCATACCCCTGGGAGGAGTCCAGCACAGCCCCGCAGCCCTCCCAGGGGTGCAAGTCCCCAATCTGTGTGCTGGGTGACAAGAGGCTGCCGCTGCCACCTGGGACTGGCACTAAAGCCAAGTAAGCCCGGCTTGGAAACTCAAAACATCTTGAAACTTTTGAAATGTTTTGAGTGTCCTTGTTTTGTTTTGAATCCATTTTGAAGCCTTTTGTTTTATTTTGATTTTGCTGTTTCAAGCTCAAAATACGTCAAAACAGCTTCGAAACGAAACACCCAGCGAAATTTCACACAGCCCTACAGGCTGGCCCCACCCCTCTCCTCCCTAGCCAGAGCTCCAGAGAAGACTGCAGTCACAGCGGGGTCTTCTTGGCTTCCTTCACTGCCTGCTGCTCAAGCAGTGATTCCCCTTTGCCTCCCTTCCTCCCATCTCCTACAGCATAGACCCCTGCCCTATGGACCCTAGGCATGTGGTATGCTAGCTAATGCTGAGAGGTGTCTGTGTGTGTGTGTCTCCAGTTTCACTGGGACAGGCAGACAGAACGGTGTCCTCTTAGGGCTTTTTGGAGCTAATCAACAGGTCAGCTGGTAATGTCCCTCCATTCCTTCCTTGGAAAAAGTTGTTTAAGAAGAACTTGAACTAATGAGAGAGGCTTTTGTTTTGTTGATGGGCTGATAAACACTGTGTTATCATTGCAGGTTTTATCACCCCCTTGCTGGTTTGCAGCCCTGTCAGGTTTGCAGATAGTATGGGGAAGAATGAAAATCTCAGTATCATCAACAGATGCATGCACTGCATGCCCCCCACCCTTTGTCTCGGAGTGCTAGCCCGTGGCTGGGCTCTGGCAATACTCCCACCCCTTGAGCAGCGAGCAGAGAAAAGCCTGTGATGGTTCAGACCAGGGTTGGGGTTTATGCTCCTCCCTAATCAGAGTATCCTGCTGGGGGTCTGTCCATGGCCCCTCCCCAGCTCAGCACTATGGAACGGAAGGGAAGGCTGCTCTAGCGCCCTGCCAGCTTCTAGCCTGAACCACTGCAGGAATGTGCCTGTGTTTCTTCAGTTCAGAAGGAATGTCTGTATGGTTGCAAATTGGTTCATCTTAGGCAGGTTAGACTAGCCTGCAGATATTGATGTGAATTTGTGAATCTGTGAATACATTCAGGCTCAGGCTTTTTGAATGTCTGTCCCTAGCCTCAGAGTGAGGAGCTCCTTCTACTGGATACATATATCTGAACTGTGTCCCCAGGACAGGTAATCATACAATCTGCACTTAATACAATAAACTGGGTAGCCCCCACCCTGCTGCTGGACTTCTACCTGCATTTTTTTTTTAGTGTTAAAACTTAGTCTGCTCTTTTAAGAAGGGTTTTATTTATGGGTTCTCTTAGACTACAAACTTTAAACTAATGGATCAACCTTCTTTGTAACTGTATTCTTCTGTAATTGCAGCTAAATATTAAACAAGGGAGTTAAGGATTGATATAACTGCTCAGTTTTAGTTATTTCAGCTAAATACCTGGGTTAAATACTCTTAATTTAACCCAGGTATTCTCTTCAAAGAGGGGAAGTGGCAAACTGAATTTCAGACTGCTTACAGATTTCCCTATTAGCTCTCCCCTGGTCACTTAGGAGGCCCTCATTTGTTTTCTCCTGAGCCCGGGCTTGCTTTGTCAGACACAAGAAGCAATCATTCAGCAAGCAGCACCAGCAGTCACCAACTGCTCAGAGTGCATGGCCCAAACAACCAACTGAACACTCACCAAACCCACAGGCAGACAAAGTTCACTTACCTTTCATGAGCAGGATCTGGTACATGACTCCTGTTTTTCTTCCACTTGGTCTCAGCGAACTGCTTGCAAACCATTCTTGCAAAATGTTCTCTGCTTAGGGAACAATAATTCTGAACATAAGTACACAGCATGGTGGTAAGCATGCTCTTAATAAAGATCCAGCTACAGCTGTCCAAATGGAATCCATTTTTATTGCTGGGAGCTTGTGTATTAAACACTGGGGAAAATCAAAGAGACACAAGTTCAAAACTCTCTGGACATGAGGAGCCTAGAACCTATTTCTTGCTTTTTGTGTTAGTTCCTTAAATACTCAGATCTGGGGGCTAAAACAAAGAGTGTTGTCCTCCTCCTTTCCTCTGTAGTCATGGGTTTTTGGCCACTTACATCATCTGGACTCACAGATATGCTTCCAGAATCAGTGTGTGTACATGCCCTGCCAGCACAGTGTTTGTCCATGGCCCCACTGCAAAGGTAATAAATAGTGTTGCTCCCTAGACGTAAGTGCCAAAATTGTTACATATGTGACTAAAAAGCTGCCATTTAGATGCACAAAGGAAAATACAATGCTACGCTTACTGAACTGGAATTTCCATCTTCTTCGTGGTCTCTTTAGTATTAAAAAACTTGGAAGTTTTCTGAAAAGAACATTATCCAAAGTCTGCAAAATAGACATTAAGAAACTAAGGAACCTCTGTTTGTTTATTTTATCTAAAATAGAGTCAAGAATTTACTTAATTCTAGTCTATAAGAGACAATATTTCAGGTCCGTTTTGAATAGAACAAGTATGAGAACATCCTTTTTATGAGATAACTCTTCTTTTATTAGACTGGGGTGACTGTCACTTATTAAACCTCTTTCTGTTTTTAGGGTTTGGGATGCTCTAACGGATAACTACATCCCATCAATCACTGAGGACTGGAGGGACCCCAATATTGAGGCACTGAATGGCAATGTTTCTGACTCAGAGGTACTTTATTGAACTTATTTTTTGTATATATTTTTTAAAGCTTAATGGGTTTTGGGACATGTTTTACACACTAAAAATGCAAATGCATAAAATGAAATGACAGCTAACAGCCCTTCTGAGCAGAGGAGAATGTGAGAATGGAGCTCCTGTCAGATATAAGAACAGATGTCTCACAAACATGTGTGAAACAAAGTCATTACCCTTTGATAAATGAAAAGCATTTGTAACGTGGAACTTTAAATGAAACAGCCTGGTATGTCTGAAATGGGAGTATTGTCAGCTAGGCTGTTGTTTGCTTGAAAATGAAACTGATGACATTTGTACTGCCTTTCACCATAACCCATTGAGAACAATGCAGAAGATGGATTTGCCAAACTGCTGAACAATGAGATAGTGATAACAATTTCTTACAGAGCACTGCAGGGAAGTCAGCTGGCTTGCTGCTGCTGCAGAGTACTTTGGATTGATGTTTGGAGGTCAGACATGGGAGGCATTCAATGGACAGAATATGCTGTAGTGGTCCTATGGTCTCTTGTTCTAGAGATAGGCATGCCATTTTCATTCCCTGATAAATTTTACGAGTTTAATATGTTTACTTTCTCAAGTGGGACAACATAAAATGTAAAAGAAAAGGTGCAGAATGAAAAAAAAAACCCCAAAACAAATACATTTGCAAAACTTGCCCAAACAGAAATGCAGGATTTTTTTAATCCAAATGTTTTGAAAAATCAGTGTTTAGAAACTACAAGCCTGAACACTGATCAATTCATTTTTAATTATTTCAGAGGCTGAGGGAAGATGAGTGTTAGATGGACTCTTGGCAAACACAAATGGACACACAGGGCTCCAACACATGATATGTTTGTGACACAATTAAAGTATTAATCATGCCATAAATACTAACAACAGTGCACACACAGGTAATTTATGGTGCCATAAAGTGGCAAGGCAGCCACAAAGATATTCCACAGAATATGTACAGCATTGTTTTGGTGCATTTGTATGCCACTATAAATTGAATAGGTAGCACTGCCAGACCTGGGGCTATCCCAGGACTGAGGCTGGAATAATATGATTGTTGGCTCTGGCTGTGGACAGTTCAGGGTTTTGAACTGGACATGGGGTTGTCCAGTGCTAAGGGTTGATAATCTCATCTGACATGGCCAGAGGCACAGTGTTTGGAATGGGGGATGCAATTCCTCTGATCCCAATCACGCCATTGATTTAACATCTGAAGGGGCCATAGACAGATGTGAAAGCCTGCAGTACTTAGGTTATTATATGGCTAATGAAGAGGATTAGGTTATTATATGGCTTAGGTTATTATATGGCTAATGAAGAGGATATGATCAGAGCATAGGAGGTGGAATAAAGAAGGTGGTAAAGTAAGAGAAATGTAAACGGGTCTGGGGTGTGGTGTAGATTTGTGAACATGTAGTAGTTGTGGTATGGTATCATAGTTGGATTCCTAAAACCACTACAAAGAGGGTAGATTCCTTATAAGCTGGGGATAGGCTTCTAGGACCAGTATCTTGTGGAATCACCTTTGCAGAAAGTATGAAGAAGTGTTGTAGGGGCACCAGGGACTCCATCCCTGAGCTGCCAACTTCATGCCACTCACTGCAACATTGGACTGTCTTCCCAAAGTGAGAGTCTCCCTACCAGTCTTGACATAAACTCTCAAAACCCCACCATGTTCACCTCTTCTGGAACTGAATCCAAATAAGGCTGTTCCTGGACTCTGTAAGGGTAGAACCAGGACCATGATCTGTTTTGGGGTGCGGCAGAAGGAACCTTATGTGTTGGAGTCAGTGTCACAGGCCAAAGCAGCTGAATTATGGGAACTGACCCTGACTGGCCATGAAGATTATGAAGTGGGAGAATGTCCCCATACTTGTCTCATGGAGATGATCTTATTTGGAAGTATACACCCACAAATATTCTCCAAAGCTAGGCTGTAGTAGCAGAGACCAGCAATTCCAGGCCCTGAGATAGACCATGAGGAAATCACAGCTCTTTTGCTTCTGTTCAGACAGAGAAGCAGAGGACAGTTCAATGGAATGAGCCATTCCTCTTCTTAATGGAGTGGTGACTGTTTTATTGCATAATGGCAATGGAAGGACAGGCAGATTGCAAAGAAGGCATACCATGAAATAGTAAGATCTTACACGGACAAAATCAGGAAGGCCAAGGTGAAAAATGAGCTATGCCTGGGGAGGGAAGTCAAGGACAATAAGAAGAGGTTCTCTAAGTATGTTGTCCAGAAAAAAGAACAAGGAAGCTGTGGGTCCACTGTTAAACAACCAGGGGGAACTCTTAACAGAAGATTCAAAGAAGGTGGAGTTGTTCAACAGCTACTTTGCCTCAGTCTTCACAAAAAAACAAAAAACAAAACAAAAAACAGGTTGCAAGCAGACAGCTAATAAGAATATTTGAAAAGGGAAGGGGACAAATTAACGGTGAGATAACAGAAAAAAAACAACCCCCCAAAAACCCAAAGAGTTTTGATGAGTCTGAATGAATTCAAGTCAGCAGGGCCTGGTGATCTTCATGCCTGGGTACTAAGGGAACTGGCAAAGATGTCAGAGCTCTTGATAATAATATTTATGAACTTTTGGGAGATAAGAAAGGTATCAGAGGATTGGAAAAGGACTAACATAGTTCCTCTCTTTGAAAAAGGCAAAAAGGAGGACTTGGGGAACTTCTTAGTGAGCAGGAGAGTAACTCAGAAGGATCTTGATAGGCTGGAAACTGGGCTGCAGCTAACAGGATGAAGTTCAATGCTGACAAATGCAAGATTCTACACTTTGGAAAATATAGTAAAAAACACACGTACAAAATGGTAGCAACTGGCTGGAAGGCAAAACTATGGAGAAGGATCTAGGACTGTTGGTGTATCACAGACTCAAATGAGCCTGCAGAGTGAGATAGCTGCACAAAAGGTTTTGGGCTGCATTTTGAGCTGAATATGGTTTTGTGCTGCACTAAGATAATCTTGAGGTGCAAGACATGGGAGTTGATAATGGCTCTTTAATTGGCACTGGTTAAGCCACATCTGGAGTATTCTGTGCAGTTTTGTAACCTACATTTTAAAAAGGATGTGGACAAGTTATAGAGGTTCCAAGGTTGGGTGAAAAAATGATAAAGGTCTTGGAAGACAAGTTATATGAGGAGAGGCTGAAGGGCCTAGACATGTTCAGCTAGTGGAAAAGGCATTTAAGAGGAAGCAGTTTTCAAACACTTGAATGGCTGCCATAAAGAAGAAGGGGAACATCTTTTATCTCTTGCTGCAGAGAGTAGGGCACAGACCAATGGCTCGAAGCTTCAATAAAGTAGGTTTAGATTGGATACAGCACAGGCGGGTGAGTGGTGCCTTGGAGCAGAACAGACAGTCACGCTAGGGCCAGGATTGTGGGGTGGTGACAACGCAGGGCCAGGGCCTGGGCCTGGGGCAGAGTTGTGATCTGCTCCCCGCATATCTCTGCGATGGGTGCTGGCTTCCTGCCTTGAAGTTCCTTGTGGAACCAGCACCTATTGGAAGGATGTGCAGGGAGTGGACTGTGGCTCTGCCATGGGCCCTGACCCTGCACTGTTACTGCCCCATAATGCCAGCCCTGGCCTCAGCCCCTGCAGCCCAGTCTGCTTCTGGCCACTGCTCCCTACTAGGGCTGTGCGAAACGGCAGCGTTCCATTTTGCCCAGTGTTTCAACGTTTCAGCAGAAGAGCGCTCCATTTCAAATTTCGTTTTGATTTGAAACGGATGTTCCGTTCTGTTCCGTTCTGTCGAAACAGTTTCACCATTTCAAACCTGTTTCAGTGTTTTGCCCGTAGGACATAATGGGGAAGGTCAAAACAGGCTATAACTTAGTCATCTCTGCCTGATTTTGATGAAGCTTGTAGGAATGGTAGCCCCTTCTCAGGGCATGAAACTTGCCAAGTTTCAAGGAGATAGGTGCAGAGGCTTTGGAGAAACTGCACCCCAAAGTCTTGAAAGCAAAACTCCTGTCACTTGTATGTGTTAAGTCACAGCCGGGTCAAAACTGCAGATGTGTGTGCTAGCCCCTGCTGAGGCTGCAAGGCCTGCCAAGTTTCAAGGAGATAGGTACAGGGGGTTCAGGAAAACTGCAGCCCAAGCTGCGGACAAGCAAAACTTGTGACATGGGTGACACTGTGTGTGTTAAGGAGCAGCAGAGTGAAAGTTGCAGGCCTGTTAGGCCCTGCTGCAGCCATGAAGCCTGCCAGCTTTCAAGGAGATACGTGCAGGGGGACTCTGGGTTCTGGGGCCCTGCATCTCTGGCCGCAGGCAGGCAAAACTCATGACATGGGTGCTTGTGCAACTGCGTCTGTCTTGGGGTGGGTGGGGCGGAAACTACTGCAGGCCTGGTTGCTAGGCCCTGCTGTGGCCATGAAGCATGCCAGCTGTGTCTATCTTAGGGCACTGGGGGGTGAAAAAAATCTACCGTAGGCCTGCCAGTCCCTGTTGTGGCCATGAAGCCTGCCAGCTGTCAAGGAAATAAGTTCAGGGGGACTCTGGGTTCTGGGGCCCTGCACCTCTGGCCGCAGGCAGGAAAAACTCATGACATGGGTGGGTGACACTGTGTGTGTGTGTGTGTGTGTGTGTGTGTGTGTTCAGGTGCACCATTCCTGGTGCTGGGGCCTCTGCACAACACGGCAGTGTGCCCCAGTGAGGTCTCCTCCCCTAGAGCCTCGATCCAGTCCACCACGGTAAACGACGGCAGGTGAAAGTAATGTAGGTGTCTCAACAGACAGCACCAGTAGCACCAGCAGCATCTAAGGTATCCAAATGGAACTGTCAGGCCCTTCTTTCCTCTCAAGTACGAACACCTAGTGTGTCTGTTAGGTGCACCCTCACTATGTGTGTCGGGGGGGGGCGTGTATTTGTGTTCAGGTGCGCCCTTCCTGGCACTGGGGCCTCTGCACAACACGGCAGTGTGCCCCAGTGAAGTCTCCTCCTCTCCTACAGCCTAGGCTGTCTACCA